TTGAACTAGATCTAATTTGCAATCTCAATTTGATTTCAGTTATATAAAGTTCAAGTAGGATCATTTTCTATTTAAATTAGAAGCACGTTGCAGATTCAAATTTAGATTTAAGTTTGAATTCCATTAGATCTAAAATAGCCAAACATAATTAGAATTAACATAGAAATGAGTAAATTAGAATAAAAACTGAATTAGAATGTCTATACAATGAAGTTAAGCTAAATAGACTTAAATTGGAATTCAATTAGGCTCAACTTAGGCTTAAAGTAGAACTATGTTACATACTCAAATTAGAATCCATTTAAAATTCAATTAGACTCAACTTAGAAATTTAAATGGAAATACAAGTGATTTTAAATTGGAATAAGAATTGGCTTAGAATTTAGTTAAATTGTATGTGCGCTAAAATTCATAGAAGTAAATTAGAGTTGAATTAGTTGTTAATTAGAATTGAATGAGGAATAAATGTCGGTAATCAGTAATATTCCAGGATCAAAATGTACTTAGTGCAATTTTGTCACTACCAGAGAATGCCAGAGAATGCATTCCTGCCCAATACCAAGACCAAGATCCAAGATTTGCACAGAAGTCTTGTGGAAAATCTTGGAAATACCAAGATCCAAGATCCAAGATTCCCACAAGACTCCTGGCTAAAATCTTGGAAATACCAAGATCCAAGATTTTAGCCAGGAGTCTTGTGGGAATCTTGGATCTTGGATCTTGGTATTTCCAAGATTTTCCTCAAGACTTCTGTGCAAATCTTGGATCTTGGTATTTCCAAGATTTTCCACAAGACTTCTGCGCAAATCTTGGATCTTGGTCTTGGTATTGGGCAGGAATGCATTCTGAATGCATTGAACGCATTCTGACTGCATTCCTTCCAAAGTGAACAAACAAGTCATGCAACCTACGTGCACAAATATATATATATATATATGGTACCCCCCAAAAAAACCAAGGATCAAAAGACAACCCAAAATAGACACAACATATTGCAAATACCAGCAAAAGTGATGTGAACATAGTTCTTTTTTTGGGGGGGGTACCATATAATATATATATATATATATGAGTCGTGTGTGCCAAATGTGCGATCTCGCCTGTGTCGATTGGGATCAGCAACTCAGGTCAGTTTAGGGTGATCCAACAGCTCAAGTTCACAGGATGTCCAGCGCCTCCAATGATTCGGATGCTCCAAATAGTCCCTCCAAAGCAGACCCAACTCTGCAAGCTTCTTGGGAGATTTCATGCAAGTATTCGGACATATTCGGACCAAAAAGCCTCAAAAGCCAAACTTCCTGTCGCATGTTCTGGGTCGCTCTTTGTTTCCCACTGGAGTCGGAATGGGATGGAACTCACGTTGGCGATGGCGTTGGCCACGCGATTTCAGGTGCGTTGTGGGCACCTGCTTTGTCCTTGCTTGGGTCCATGGCCACAACTGCTCTCGCCAGCCAAGAGGCAGCAGATGATCCAACAGTTGACGCAAAACTCATTGGAACATGCTGGAGAATGGATGATAGGGTATAATCAACAGTCGACATTAGTCTTTGGATGTCTTTGGTTCGATCAGACTTCTCCCTGATTCGATGGCATTGCTAGGTGTTCAACGCCGCTCTGCTGGCCTGCAGCCGCTCCTCTACCTGGACCTCGGGTGGTGTTTGAGGGAGTCGGTCGATTTGTTCAGCTGGAAATTCGAGACCCAATGGGGTCATGTTTCGTGGGGTCATGTTGCCTATGGCTATTGAGTCATGTTCCCGTGTTTTCAGTTAAGACTCAATTAAGACTGTGGCTAGAATTGAGTCTTTATGAGGTCATGTTGCCAATGTTGCCCATGTGCTTTTGGGCTACAGAACCAACAGAACCCTTCTTGAGCCGCAGGCCACTGTTGAAGGAAGAGATCCACCACGGATGGACATGACCAGTCAGTAAGCCTTTAACAGTCAGTGCCAAGATGATCACAGTGTATGATCACTATGTCTTTTGGAAAGGCCTTTACTAACCAGCATCCTCCACTGTTACTGGTGATGAGATACACCAAATGTTGAATCATCAAACAGCGAGCAGCTATCAACCGGGGCAGGGTTGGATCAGCTGGGCACACGACTGGCGATGGACGAGACGGTGGTTCTTAGGGTATGATGATCTCCCGCTGCAGATGAACTAGTAGAGGAATTTCAGGGGTCTTGACGGTGAATTCTCAGGGTCCATATTCAGTTCGCAAGGCGATCGAAATGAGAATGCCTGGTAGCGCTGGGCATTCTGACAACGGACGCGATCCACTTGGCTTTCAGCGACAAAAGTGACCGGCAAAGCGACATCCTGGGAGGTCATGAAAGGAAGGTCCTGGTGCATAATTCTGCATCAATCAATTTATGATCACACGCCTTTGTGTTGGATTCCTTTGGGCGGCTGTAGGGTGCGGGCGACCATTTGTTGGGTGTTCCTGCCATCGTCCACGATCGGCCATCGGCGCGACACAAGGAGATGGACAGCTGAACTGTGCGACGAGGCGACGGATTGGCCAGAACTCTTAACGAATGGAATCATGAGGGACTCTAATCTATGGGCCTCTATCACTTTCTTGTATTCCTAGGATTTCCTAGATTTCCCAGGTATGTTTCAGGGTGGCATCAGAAGGTCTTTAAAATAGCTCTAGTTCCCCGTTCGGGACAAGCTGGATTTCATCGGGCGAATTCCCCAACCAGCATCTCTGATCCTTTCAGCAGCTCTTGGTATATCTATGATCTATGATTATCAGATGCCCAACCACGACCATCCGTCGATTGGGAATCTCAGCCCCAGAACGAACGAGTAGGGACCCCAACAATGGACGCCTGGGGTCGCCTTTACATTATATCTAGTATGATATATTATATATATAATATATTATATTAATATATTATATATATAATTATATATGTGGTTCTTTTTGTTTCATATTGTTTTTCAGATCGATCCCTTCAGTGGATCCTGGTCTCTTTGATCAGTCCCGCCGGCCCGATGCAACTGCATCTTCAGATGCGGCGGCCCCATGCAACGCTCGAGGTGCTCCGCCCCGATGAAGTGGCGGCCATCGCGCTGTGTGCCGCCCAGGAGGAGGTCGGGCCGGGTCGTTGGGCAAAGCCACGGGGTGACACTGGGAGCCAACGACGACCCGGCCGTTGGCCAAGTCGGTTTAGCTCCGTGGTTCTTCTTGTTTTTGGTTCGCATGAGTTGATCCTTCACTTCATTCACTAGTACATCGCATTGCAAGGGACACCTAGGGGGATGTAAAGGACTGAAGGTTCAAATAGACCTTGTGGTTGCAGTATCAACCGACCCGGAAAGTGAGAACAGGCAGGATCGACTTTGGATGTTTCGGGGATCATTGCAAAGTGATTCTTTTCCAGGCTGGGTTCTGTGGAATTTGGCAGATATTTTTTACCAACATGGAAGGTCCATTGGTCTTGGATATTGAATTTCTGCAAGATCGTTTGAGGACGAATCTTAATTATGAAGGGACCACTTCGGATAGATATGTCTTAGCAGACTTGAGAAGCCACTTGTGGATCAAATCAAACAATTCTGTTTTGCCTGCTGGCCCCTATGCAATTAACCTGTATCTCTTCACCCTGGCCCAGGGAGTGTATTCACATCGCAATGTCCTCGCAGCGTCCTCACCTCGACCACCAGGCTGGTTTGTGGATGGATGCCATGGCACTTCTGAAAAGCTCCATCCAGGAACGTGAGAGGCACAGATGGAGCTTTTGTGGAAAGAACTTCCATGAAAGTCTAGTCTAGCGGTGAAAAACGTGGCACACAAGTTGGTCGTTGATCATGCCATGTGCAACATTTGCTTGCCATGTGAATTCTTTGAGTACGACACTCAACCCATCAACCATGTTCAGCCATGTTCAACCCACCAACCTGCTCGTTGCAACCTGCTCGTTGCAATCCACCGCTGCAAACCCAAGGTCTGGTCGGAAGTGCTACACTTCACGTGAGCGTTTGCAGCGCCTGCACCCGAGGCGGCGTATATATATATATACTGTATATATATATAATATATCGCGACGACTCGTCGCGACGACCGTTTGCCGCAGACCGCAGACCGTTTGCCGGACGGTACGGAGAATACGCCTCGTCGAGCGGATGGTGTCCAGACGTGCACATTGGCATGGAGGGAACGGCCCGATCTTTTCTTCCGGCTCAGCCTTGGGAGATGAAAAGGATGTGGTGCTCAACACCGGAGAAAACCCTAGAACACCACCTACAAATTCATAGAAGACCATTGAATACCACTGATATATCCAGATTGGATGTATGGCCTAGAAACCCAGCAGGCAACATGTGGTCTTCCACCGTCATGCAGTTGGTTCTGCACCAGACAGTTTCAAGCTTGATTCTGATTCTGGTGAAGGGCTGGGAGCCCGAGGAAATCGGACCTGTACTATTAGTAATTGAGAAGATGCTATGAGCAGCTGGACAAATAAACTGTATATTATATTATACACATATGCGTCATATGCGTGTGCTTTGTTGAATTTGTGCTTTGAGTACTTGATGTTTTCGTTGGTAGACATGGTAGGGAAGTGCAAGACAGGGCGACACACCCCGCATCCGGCATCCAGTCCAGCTTCGACAGGGCGCCGATGGGAACGCTCCATGCTGCTTTGGGAGGAGCCGAGTTGTTTGTCTGCCCTGGGGTAGTGGGGGTTCGATTTGGAAGAGACATCAAAAATGCCAGTCGGTCCAAGAATGAATTTCCTTTGGCAACTTTGGATCTTGTTTTTGCCTTTAGCACCTGCTCTATTTATGCATCTCAATTGTGTCCACCTTCGGGGCGACGACGGCCGCTAGGACATGAGAACTACGGGCTTCTGGCCGGATGCCGCCGCGCATGGTGCTGTCCTTACAGACGGAGAAGTTCCGACTGTAGTTGGATGTCCTACAATGGGGCAAGAAGTGGGGTTCTTGATTTGGTTACTTATTGTTTCATGTCCTGCATGGGTTGGAGTTATTTCCTTTCTTTTATGCAGTCGGCGAAGTGAATCGAACTTGATCATCACGGTTTTGGCCCAAATTGTGTCTCCTGATCTACGCATAGCTGTTTCTAGCTCGAGCCTGCTGCACTTGCTGCCGGAGTCTTTACAAGGCTTGTTCTTTTGTGCGTGTGAAGAGCCAAGGAATAGTGAACTCGTGATACGTCATTTATTTCCACTGGAAGGGTGAATGCTAACTAGTCAGAAAGTAGGTCCAATGATTCACCAGTATCCATCAAAAGTGTTTGGAGGAACTGGCTGATGAGTGATTGTTTGGTCAAGTTCAACCAGTCTGAGCCAATCGCTCGCCCCAACCAGAACGAGGTATTTGAAAGACACTGGTGTCTTGCTGGGTAGGTCTTCAATGTAGCTACTGTGTAATTTCTTGACAGACTGTGTGTACGCGTACACCATAATCTTAAAGTCTTAGACCCTTAACAGGAGCTTATTCTGGTTTTGCTCAAGGTGATTTGTATTTTCCCTGTGGGTGAATGCCCTTCGGCAAATCCAAGTGATAAGGGATTTACTCAAGTCCAGCTGTGTTGTTTGCTACATAGTGTCCACCAACGCAGTGGTCTCGGTGGAGAACGCAGTGGCCTTTGTTTATAGTTTTTTGTTCGCTTCGCTTGTAGAATTGTTGTCCTAAATGGTCAACATCCTCAGCGACTGTGTTATTTGGTTGAACCATGTCCGATTTGCCGAACTTTGCCAACGTGGTTCGACTGGGTTCCATGATGACTTGAACCATGTAATGTTTAAACATGACTCACATGACTCATGACCATTGATTGATGTTCATTGTTTGAACCCACCAAAGCATTTTGTTGCATTTGCAGGCATGGGAGCGTGCAATGAGGGGATGCGAAAGCTCTTGATGCCTGCCGATTCTTTGATGCACTGAGAAATGTGGAGTTTGGCAGCTAAAGGACCGGTGGGGAACGGGGATTGTCAACGCCAGTGAAGGCATCATGTGACCTTGACTAGCTTTCTTTGTATCATTACCAAAATATAATCGACACTCATCGCCAAGCAACTCGACCCTCGATGCTATAGAAACTGAAATGCTACAGAAAACTGACAAATTTCAGTTGTCAGCCACTTCAACATCATCACACATCCATTTTGCAAAGCCAGCAAAGATGAAATAAGTAATAAGCATCCTGAGCCACACTCTTTCATCCGAATCTGCACTCAGGAGGGCAGCTGCACACGAGACTGGGAAGGCTTTGGAGATGTCGAAGAAGGCAGCGCCGCCACCTTGGGTTCATCTTGACGCGCTCAGGTGGATAGAAAGTGAGTTGACCAGACCTACCCTTAGGGCATCTTAGGCCAAAGACATCAATCAAGGACATCTATGATACGTAGCATGAGCAGACAGAACTGCTTCTGTAGAGGAATCATCTCTACCTCCAGTCGGAGCCCCGCCATCCGGGGCCGGGAGATGCTACTATCGGTGGAGCCTTCCGGTGGAGCATCTTCCCACTCGAAACACTGAGGGCGGAGAGCCTAGTGCTTTTGGAGAGCTCTCAGTTCCTAGAGTCTTAGATGCCCACCTCTTAGTAGTTTGAGCTTCATGCTACATCTCCAGTGTCCAATCCAACTTGAAACCTTAGTTCAATTTAGTTCATTCTTTTCCTAGCAGCAGGTGAGTGAATACCGACTAAGGCAATCCCCAACCAATAGGTGGTGGTAGTGAATCTCCTATCACACTGTTGTCACAATTGAACAGTCCAAGTGTTTCTTTAGATGCAATTTCCTTTCCTCATCTGGGTGTGATGAGGCGAATTGGCATTAAAGTCAGCACCACTTTGAAACCAGCGAGGCAGTTTGCTGATGATCGGCCACGTCGGCATGCCTTGCTTCTCCCAAGACCCTCGGCATCAAGGAAGCTTCGTCCGAACCATCATCGATCCCGGATCTCCAGGAGGATCAAAACCAGGATGAACCAGGAGACTTACCAGGGGGATCCCGATGTAACTTCGATGTAACTCAAAGGTCAAATTTGTGGGTGTCTGCATCTTTGCAGTTGTGTATGTGTTTGTCCACTGGCTATTTTGCACCTTTGTACCGAAAGGATTGGCCTGGGAGGCCCACTCTCTTTCTGCATGGTGTGGCGCCGTGTTTCTGGGGAACATCCTCAAGTAAAGCTTTTCTTGTAATGAATCTGAAGACGTCTACACTCAACCGACCGGATGGGCATATCCACGCGGTGTATGAAGTTGTCGGGCAAGGTTAGGCAAACATAGAACTGCTGCTGATGCTGCTCCCTTTCAAGCAGTGGCCTGTTGGGCATGTCCACATGTTGACAACATTGGGGATGCTTTGCATCGTTTCAGTGTCATTTGTGGCCGCATTTGCTTTCAATCGGTTGGTGGGGTCGTGGGCACGCTTGCTTGTGGAGCAAAAGCAAGGGTTGGATTCAGGTTGGCAGTTTGTTTGTTGTTTGCATCGAGGCTTGTTGCATTGAGCTGCAACACAGCTTAAGTTGTATTGTTCTTCACCATGCCCTAGTACAATTGCTGAAGACCCCGCTGCACAACATGCTGACATAACCCAACGCAGTTTCATGATGTTTCATGGTTGTTGTTTGCCTCAGCATGTGTCACATCTTGTGGCCATTGTGGCGTGCTCCCGGGCTGAGGATGCTACGCGACGACTCTTTTTAGAGGCCGATGGGATCGACTGTCGGTCACGGGATCGGCTGTTGGTCGCACATTGTGTGTGTTCTTCATCTCGTACATATAGTTTTCAGTTTCGCTATGTTCTGTAGTTCTGCTTCGCGCAGTCATAACAACGAGGGATGAAATGAACATGTTTGTTTCACTGGCTGACTGTGACTTCAATAGTCATGGATTCTACTGACTACGGAGACATGATGAGACATGTATCAAGAATCAAACACCGATGTTGTTCCAACGGCATCAAGCTTATGACCCTACTGGATTGGAAGACTCTCCTTTCTCAGGCCCTCAAGTCGTACAAAGGTTCACCCACCGGTGGCTTTTAATATCCTTTAGTCATCTTTAGTCTATTGTTCCTTTGACCAGGGAGGTCTATTCTATTGTCTATTGTTTGTGTCTGATGTGTTCACAACACATTTGGGTCGTTCACGCAGTGAAATCACGGATCGATGCTGGCCGACGCTGAGGGCATGGGAGCTGCAAACTGTGAACCATTGCAGATCGGCGCCACAGGACTCAGGTGAGCCAGGGAGTGCGGAGATCCTGGTAATGCAGATCCAAATCCAGTTGCACAGCTTTTGGGATGTTTGTTTCATGAGATCCTTAAGGCTGCTGTCTTGCCGAATGGAATCAAATGATTAGAACAATGTGGAAAAGACAACAACAAAAAAGGACGCAGATGTTATGTCACTTGCCAACCTTGCCCTGCTTTTCTTGGATCCATGTCGCAGGCTACAGCAGATAGATGGGCCTGCTGAAGCATCAACTTGGCCAGGGCAGATGTACATTTGGGTCGAGCAAGTTCAGGAAACCTGGAAGAGGTGTAGGCACGCGAAGCCGACGCTTTTGCTTTCCCGTCGTCAGGGAATGGTGGGTTTTAGATGTTTTCCCCACCTGCCAGGTGAGGGTTCTTAGATTCTATCAGAGCTGTCCTCTCCTCCTCCTCGCCTCCTCCTCTGAACCAGATAAAATGCTAGAACGAATGTCAGCAACTATGCCAGAAGACATGCACGATAGAATATCAGAATATATGCCAGAATATGCCAGATATATCCAAGTTTATGCCAGGAAGAATATCATAATAGATGTCAACATAGTTTATATAATAATGTCCAAACATATGCCACATAGCGCCAGAACATGTGCTAGAAAGAATGTCAGAATGAATTTCAGAATTTATGCCAGATAGACTACCAGAGAGAACGCCAGAATATATAGAACGCCAGAAAATATCCCAGATAGAATATATACAAGATAGAACGCCAGAATATATCAGATAGAATGTCGGCATTTATGCCAGATAGACGAATGCCTGAATATATGCCAGATAGAGTGCCAGAATGTATGCTAGATAGAATGCTAGTGTATATGCTTGTATATGCAAGATAGACACTTTCTTGGTGATGTTGAAGCATCATATAATGTCATGGTGGGGATCACTCGAAGAAAAGTATTTGTTAATATTTGCATGATATGCTGTTAGGATGCATCAAGAGCGACGCGTTCAGACGATGTTTCGCCGCTGCGCAGGTCCATGGACGACGAGGTGGTGGAGTCTGCGGTGTGCTGCCACGACGAGCGCGCAGCGGACGCGCTGGTGCTGCGAGATCCCGGCACGCAGAACGCTGTGGTGGTGAATCAGGCGGACATTTGTCGTTGGGGGGAAAAGGAGGGGCCTTTGGGAACTGACGGCGCACATTTTGTGTGCTTCCCTTTATTCTACGACACATTACATGGTGAATTGTTTTGGCTTGAAGTGTAGCTGAAGCTGTTCAATTGAAGCCTTGGAACTTCAGGGTCCTTATCCACTCCCTGAAAGAATCCTGGAGCTGGAACATGCCTTGGATGACAATTTTCCTTTACAAACAGGTGGTCTTCCATTTCCAGCATGGTTATTTCAGTGTAGTGGTAGTGTAGTGTAGTGTTTTTTTGAGACTTGAATGTCGCCTTTAGGTGCATGTATCACTTGTTAGGTGCAGGTGAGCTGTTTCGATCAATCTAGTAATAATCAAATCTGGAATCTTGCTGCTACCGTAACTTGTGGCAAATCCCAGTCCCTGGATAGTACCCTTCCTTTCAGACATAACCCAATTCATACACCGAATCTGATTTTTCATGTTTTGTTCAAGCTTTGTTCACCTCCACCGTGGGCGCGACCCATTGTCCAAACTCCAGCGCTGGTCATTGGTTGAGTCATTTGAGGGGCGAGGGGGGTGCTGCTTTCCCAGCGCAGGCACCAAAGGGTTACACCAAGTCTTTGCGACAAGCGCCTGGGCAGCTATCAAAGAATGGTGCTCAAGCGAGCTTTGGGCTGGAGTATGGCATGGTTGGATGTTGTTTCATGTCAAAAAGAATCGACGCCCCTGGTACTGCACTTGATTCCTGCGCACTGTGCTGTTTTTGGGACATGGATTGATGTGGCTGGACAGGAATCTATATGTCATGAAATGACACGTTGATTACTGGTGTGGTTGCCTCGTTTGGGGCAGCTTCTCTTGCAGATCGCGGTTTTTTTGGCGCAATTGAGGCTTTGACCACAGAGTCACCCACTGATTTTCACCGATGGCCACGACCCAGAGGTCTTGAAATTAAGCACCCTTCCGTGGCACCTAAAAAGAGCCTAGGCCTATAGGCTCTTTTTCATTTTTGATCCAATGGTTCTTTCTTGTCCAAAACAATCGGATTTGGAAGGCCTTGGGCAAGAAGGTGGAGGCCTCCAATGTGGTGTGCCTCATGGACTTGCTGCGCCTTGGAACTTCATGACATCTCCCAGGCTTCCCAGAAATGGATCCCTTTAGCTGTTTGACAAGAATACACTTCACCATTGGGCGGCCCGGGTTGAAGGTGTTCTAATTTTTTTGGGGGGAGTGTCACATACAGCCAGGTATACAGCCGGCTAGCCAGCCAATATAGACGAAGGGAGATCAGGTGAACTACCTGACGACAGACATCGTGGCTAGACTAGCGGCTAGACATCGGTGAAAGACACCTGCAAAGGAATTGTTCTATAATGTTCTATCGTTTTATCGTTCTATCATCGTTCTATCCATGCGTCCATCCATCCATTTGTCCATCTATCCATCTATCCAACTATCCATCTATCGATCTATCTATCTATCCATCTATCTATCTATCTATCTGTTTGTCCAACTAGCTTGTTGTATATGCATCTGCATGTGTCACTCTTTGTTCCTCAGAATTTGCGAGGTGCCTCGTGCCCGTGGGATGCTCCGCACAGTTGGTGGGTTTTTATCAGCGTTCCTTGGCTTCGCTGCTTCGGCGGTTGGATTCAGAGGATTACCGTGGAAACCAGGTGGCCATCATTTGGAGCCAGCGGTCCCGGATGGTCCAGGTGTTCAATTTGCCTTTCTTTACGGCAGATACAGAGACTTAGGATGTTAGGATGGTACTCCGGTCTTAATGTGTGTACTCTTAGATCCTAAGCTCTTTGTTTCCAGGGGGTATCTATATACATATATATCATATAAATATTACACAATTTCACCACTATACTTATTCAGTCTCAACCATGTGAAACCCTTAGCAATAGATCTAAGGACGGGCATTGTTTGCATTGCAATTGTCGAACTACACAATGGATATTTGCTGATGTGACGTATAGAGATGGGCCGGGTCAGAAGCAAACATCCCAATATTGGCAGGTCGGCTTTCCTCCCAGACCGTGCCGGTCCATACCGGTCGTGCCAGGTTTCTTATCCTGTCAAGTGACCAAGTCCAACGAAGGGTACCGTATCCACTTCGGAGCAGGAACTCGGACTGGGCTGGACTGTTCGAGAATTTTCAAGAAAGGGTCGGGCAAAGAGCCCGGAGACAGGACATCGAAAAACGGTATGAGAAAATGCTGAGCATATATGTATGTATGCGAAAATGAGCCCTCAAACGAGAGTCTGAGACTCAATAAGACTTTACAGTCCCGATTGTTATTGACATGTTTGCAGAGGACTCATGTGAACTCTCCGCTTGGAATTCAATGTCCTTTCATTGGATGTGAAATGACCAAGAACTGTTTGTCATTCAACATGGCTTTGATCCCCAGGAGACTTCCTTCGTCAGACCTTCACTTTCAAAGACGATGAAGCGGCCATTTGGTCTGGCTCGAGCTCCGCGAGCTCTGCGAGCCGCGAGGCGAGGGTTCGGTATGTCACCGGTGGGTTCTTCCGTATCAGCCGAATTGGAAGGACAGGAAGATAAGCTCGGAAGAGAAAACTCTGCAAGTTGCGAGGACGATGCGACTTTGCGGCGCTGTCGATCACTCCAGAATGTGAGTTCAACAAACAAGCTTTCCATCCAAATCCTGCCACATATCTTCAGCTCCAGTTCTTTTTCCCACAGAGCTGAATCCCGGTGGGGACTCGGTTGAAACCTCTGACCCCTTCCTCCGAGTCAGTCACTCAATGACCACGTCCAGGTGTGCTTCTACGTGGCTTCGGCGGCCAAGTTCCGGATTGCTTTCTCCAAGTGCTTCCAAGCTGGCTTGGTGAGCACCGAGTGGCAGGCCGGAAATCGATGATGTTGATCTTAACGGGGGAAGGCGACTCAAGGAGTTGACCAGGATAGAACGTTGAGCAAGTGAATGTCATGCTTCAGTTCTATGTTTCAAAAGACTTGGTCTTAGTTGAGATTTGCTCAGCTCATTTGGCCCCTTTTCCATCCTTTTCCTACTCATCCGATCTCATCCCATCCCGCGACCTCGTCTCTTCTGGCAGGCGGTGGAACGCCTTGGCGAGTTTTCCTTCGACCGATGCGTGGATGCCAGCGGCGGCACCATCCTGGAGCTGCGGCATGTGATCCGATCCCCGTGCCATGCAGACTGCGCGGTGACGCCGGTGGTGACTTGGATTTCAGACGAGGAAGGTGTAGCAGCGTAGGCACCTGGTTCCGTTGGGGCAGAAATTTTTCCCCCGGTTCCGTTGGCTGTGATGTTCCAAAAGAATTCTGGATGTGGAGTCTTTGGGTGTTGTTTTTAGTATTATTGTGGCCTCCGGCCTCCTTGTTTTAAGCTGTTTTAATGTGCATATGAACGCAATTATACAATTGAAATGTGTGTTTTTCCATTGCTTCACAGACTTAAAGTTTTCTCGAGTGATTGGGTCGGTTGGTGTCGCAGACGAAGAAAGGATTCAAGCATGAGAAACACGCGTTGCCGACGAAAAAAAAGAACGTCTTCAGTGGGATCCGCGCAAATGCACCGACAGAACTGCGTATGGTTCGTAATTCACATGATTCTTTTGAACGTAGTGTAGACATGCTTGCCGGGGTCACTGGGGTGCTTGCCGTGGTTTGTTGCCGCTCCTTGTTCTCAGGACTCGACGTTGATGGGCGCCTGATAGTCTAGGTCGGAGGTCCACGTCCACGAAGGCAGTGGCTGATTTTTATGACAAGGACAAACCGGGTTTAAGACTCCAAAACACATCACAGTCCCACCTGCAGAGTGTTGACTAGAATTACTAGATTGTTCAAGGCCCTATATGGTTGCTCCAGCCATTGAAGCTCAAGAAGCCATGGATGGGGTACATGGGAAACCCAAAAGCCCTCTTGCAAGCCTGGTGTCCTTGGAGCATCCCTGAGTTATGTGGGAGTCCTGGGCAGTAGAAGAATGGGAGTCCTTTCCTAGATCTACCCTTTGGTATGCCAGTTTCGGCGAAAGATGCTGCAAAGCAGGTCGTCAACAGAATCGCCCCATTTTCTCAACCAAGCGGCCGGAGCTCTAAAGCAAAAAGGTCCTTGGTTGTCACAAAGCTTTCATTGACATGTACAAAGAATATATGGCTAATACGCCCTAAAGGCATTCAAACCTTGCAAGCTTGAAAAGAATGCTGCATAAGGATTTGGGTGGGTGGGTGGGCAGTGATGCAGCCTGAACTGCTTCAACATCCATTTTGTCCATGCTTACTCTACCAGTTTCGGCCCATGGTTTGCTTGTGGGCACGTGATCCAGACTCAGTATGACATGTAGGCCATCTCACCATGTAGGGAGTCCTTTTCCTGTCAACGAAACTAATGCCAATGCTTTCTGACGGCTCTGGTGTATGATCGTGTATGTGTGTGTGTCTCAAATAATATATAATAAACAGAAAACACACCCATGATCTAGGTTTGAGTTTTGGATCGCTGTATGTCATGTCGGTCCCTCACCATCCTCATCCGGCTTTGTTTGCCGTGGGAGACATCAAACCGTGTAGTCTTACTTTGAAAGGAAGAAATCCAACACGCAAGACTTCCGATGTCAAGTGCTTTGATCAGATACGCACCTAGCAAGTCTTGGGATTTCTAACCAGTCCATACAATTCCACCTCAAAGATAGATCAACCAACACTCGCTTCGGTTTCGGTGGTCGCGACCCACCGAGGTGCGTTACTGCAGATGCTCTCGGTCGCTGGCGCGGGCAAATGGCGTGCATCCCTGGGCCACCTGGCAGGTGAGGTTCGAGAATCAGTGAAAGAAGAAGAAGACGACGAAGACGAAGGAGCAGCAGCTTTATGGTTTGATGATGTTTGATGTCATCTTTGAGCATTTCTTTGGCTTTGCCTCAGCATGTTTCCACATGGAATCTCATGGCTCTAGAATCCCCACTTCTCAGTGCCGTCAGGCCTCAAAGGCTTCGCCTCCACGATCTTGGGAAACTTCGCCATGGCGCCCTGTGAACAAGTCAGGCGTCGCCTCCTCGATCGCCATCGGGTCACCTGTTCAGACGGTCGGGCCGGGCCGCGGGCCGCTTTTTTCGAGCGGGAGGCGAGGACGGACGGTCATGGCATTCGGGGGTACACCGGATTTTCACAGGTGTTCACCACACTGTCCTCTTTTGCCAAGAATGTGTTGGGTCAGAAGGCATGTCGACCTATTCGTCGAACTATGTGATGTTGAATGTCCATCTCCGATCAACTGATGCAGTTCCTTCTCTCTCATGCCTGGTGAGGCAATGGAGAGAGGCATTGTGGGTCTCATCAAGTCTGGCTGAGGCTGGCCTTCCGCTCCTCATTTGGAACCCCATGCGAAGGAAATCTCTGAGGGCCCACATCCAACCACTGTGTCAGCTCCCTTTGCAAGCAGTTCTCAATCGGCTTTTGACTTCATGTGTGGCCACTCTCCGCCCCTGATGGCTACTTAGCGGCTAATGAGATCCACTGCTCTTAGACAAATAAATTGAAACAACCAATTTCGAGAAGGTCTGCGTGGATCAGGGCTAGGCAGGCAATCTTATGTTTTCATTTGGCATTTGGTAAGTTTCACCAAGATAAGTAGGCCATAGGCTTATGATGTACGCTAAAGCTAGTTCTGATGACACAGCAAAACATAAAAAATGCATAAACATTGCAAAATAATGCAAAACCAATCCCGAAAAAAAATGCACAGAAAACGCAAAAACAAGTCACCAAAGGATGCCTTGGAATGCAAAACAAAAACGCGAAAAATGCGGGGAAAAAAAAAACGTATTTGTCCACTAAACAAATGCAAAAAAACGCACAAAAGATGCAAACAAATGCACAACAAAGGCACAAAAAATGCAACACAAATGCACAAAAAATGCAAAACAATCGCAATCAAAAAGCAAAACAAATGCGATCAAAAACGTTCTCGTCTTTGCCTTTGCAATTTTTGCTATTTATTTGCTTTTTTTGCGATTGTTTTCTTGCATTTTTTGTGCGTTTCCTTGAGAACACGAAAAAACAGAATCACACAAAAAACGCACAAAACATGCAAAACAACAATGCAACAAAATCGCACATCAAACGCACAAACATCGAAAACAAATCGCACAAAAAAGGTGGTGTGTGAAATTTGGTTGTGCATGTGCATTTTTGTGCGTTTTGTTCGCTTTTGTTTTACGTTTGTTTTAACTGTTGTTTTGCGTTTTGTTTGCGTTTTTTGGGTTTCCTTTTGCAATGTTTGTGCTTTTTTATATGCACTCTGTTTGACCAGCTGCCTTTTTCTTGCCTTTTTTTTGCATTTCCTAGTCATCATTTCTGAGTACGGTTTTGCATTTTTTTGCCTTTTTATGAATCCTTGAGAATTCAGAGTTAGGCTGTAAGGTACATCATAACCATAGGCTATAAGTGCTGTAAATCGAAGTAAGCTGATCCCCTTACGGCCTTGCGGTGGAATTCATGTCAGACGCACCCGCTAAAATTTATTATTGCCAAGTCGCGTTTGAAGGCTGGCTTGGAAGTGGATGCCAAGACCTTTGGCCTCGCTTTGGGGTTTGCATCTCAGACTGTCTCTGCAAACAGATTTCTCACCCAGCAGTCGTTTTGGGGATGTTCACTTGGTTCACTTGTTGCAGCTTGAAGCATGCTACATGCCTTTGCTTATTAATGCAAGTATAAATGCAATAGTCGTTTCTAAGATTCCGGCTCGAAAAGGACGTTGTAGCCAGTTGTAGGGGTCAACATAACAGGTATACGGGTGGAACAAAAAAGGTGAGGGGCCGGGGTCGCAAAAAAAGGTTGCAGGGTGAAAACACAGGTGACCCATATTACAGTAAATTGCCGGCTCCTGATGTTTGAGCACTCAGGTCGTTACAAGTTCCTCATCAATGGGCCTTAATCTAAGTGCGTTCAGAGTCTCTCCATGGACAAGACAGCAGCAAAAGTGCAGTCAATTCCTTCACACAAGGTTTCCTTGTGCCCAGAATGGCATGCCCAGAATGGTTGGGGACATCGTATGTAACATGTTGGATCTTCAAAGTGACCCCAAGCATCAGCTTGATCACCTAGTATCTCGAGCATCAGGTTTGATGTTGGTCTAGAGATCGGCCCTACACATTACTGCACTCTCATGTCCTGCACTCTCATGTCCTCCAGCTGTACGTACATGTCTCAAGTGTTGGCTTGATGTTGGTCTAGTGTGTGTGTCAATTCAGTTCAATTGAACTCACTAGCACGGACAAATCCAATGCACTCACCGGTACCAGACTGATATTGCACACTGGGACCCTCTCCATTTGTTGGTGTTCCGAGTTAGAGTGGTTAGAGAGCCCCATGAAGTCAGATCCGTAAGTCTATACTACTGAGGTTGAGAGGTTTCCTGCTTTTGGTTTCAGATCGCTACGACTAAGACGGTGTCCTGCTCGCTCTTCACCGACGTAACGACCCGGACACCCAGACATCACAGCGGTGGACTCGCCCCCAAAAACACGACATCGGATGAAGGATGATGAGACGCGGTGAGATGGTAGACGCTTCTCTTTCAGGGGGTTGATATGTTCGGAAGGTACCATTGAGTCTCCGGTTTATAGGTGTCCGATTTCCGCGTGTCCCAGAGACTTGGGCTGAGGCTCGCTCCTTGATCCTTATGGCGGAACTCCCAAACAAGCGGCCGACGACTCGGCCGTTGCCGCCGAACTGCTTATGTGGGCGGTTTCGGAAGACATGCTGAAACGACCCATGACATTGAATCAATGCTGAAACCACCACTTAATGAATCTTAATTGTATATTTAGGGCACCTTGACCTGAACGCGAGCTATGATTGCCAAAACCCCTAAGTTGATGCGAACGAACCGACTCCAGGCTGGCGATGAATGATGTGCACCTGGGTGCGGCCTTGGCAACGGCTCAGGCGCCTCTTGACCGGTGGAGTGGGGGACGAGCTTTGTTGGCCACATAGGACATCAACAGCCATTGGCTGAGAGCTGGGTGTATAGAATGTTAGCTCAGCTGCAGCTCTTTGTTGTCTTGTTTTTGAGGGTCTCACAAAGCCTTGAGAAGACTAGATGCTGCAAATTTGGACCCACTCTGTTATGATTCCTCTAATCGACAGATGCATGTGGAGGGTGTGTTTAAACTCTGACACATAGCTATCAGATTTATGGCACAACTGTCAATAATTTTTAGGTATTGATGACCAGTGCAAGACAACAACCCACGCCAGGTCATGCACGCACAGACCTTTTTGCCCTCACAAGACTGCTAGCTTGCTAGCTGAGGACATGGTTGCTGCTGCAGAATGTTTCTTCCCCCCCTTTTGTGTGCCCGTGATAGAATCAGTCCAAATAGCTCACTGTCACACTCAGTCCAATCAGTCCAGGGTTTCCGACGCGGAAATGACGGACATGACTCAGACGTTTTCTTTGCAACGTGGACATGACCCAGAACACACATGAATGAGAGGTCCTTGTGTGATGCCCAGGTTGATGATGTAAAAAAGGTAGGTGAGATAATACAGTTCGTCCGGAACAAAAAAGAAAACATCTGGTTCCCTGAGGAATGGGGTTCCAAGCAAATTTAGTTCAAACACATTGTAAGTTGTGTTCTTGCCAAGTCTTGCAGTGTTTGCCAAGTTTGCAGCGCGATTAGAAAGAACTTTGAAGACAAACATTAGATTCCTTGCCTTGGGACCCTCCGGATTGTGGATGTTTTCCTCTTGCAAAGAACTTTCGATGCCAGTGTGCAACTTTTAATGCCACGACGATCAATGTCG